GGCGGCGGGGGGCCGGTGTCGCCTCAGCACCACGAGCTGACTTCGCTGTTCGAGTGCCCCGTGTGCTTCGACTATGTGCTGCCCCCAATCCTGCAGTGCCAGGCGGGGCACCTGGTGTGCAACCAATGCCGACAGAAACTGAGCTGCTGCCCCACGTGCAGGGGGTCCCTGACCCCGAGCATCAGGAACCTGGCCATGGAGAAAGTGGCCTCGGCGGGGCTCTTCCACTGCAAGGTCCCCCGGCCCGCGCCTCCTGCGGCAGCACCGCGCCCCAGGGGTCCCCGGCTCCTTGCACTGCCCTGCCCGCCCGCCCCGCCCGGCCTCGCCGTGGTTGCAGACTTGCCGAGAGGCGCGAGCAAGGAGTTTCACTTCCCCTTTCCAGGCTGTAATGAGCGGAAATATCCTCCACCCCGTCCCAGCCGGGTCACCGGGGGCTCCTGGACCTTGGCCAGGCGCGTGTGTGGCTTCTGTGCAACTACCAGCCCCCCTCGGTCCGCAGAAGCCAAGAAGCTCCTCATTTCTCCTGGAGCAAGTGGGTCCCAAGGACAACACAGTGGGGTGCTTCCCCCCTCCCACCTGGGCAGCAGAGTACAGCCTGTTGCCAGGAGCACAGTTCCTCCCCGGGGAGAAGGGGTAGGGAACAGGAAAAGAAACAGGCAGAAGAAGCAGGAATGTGCATCTCCTTGAGCAGGTCTCAAAAGATCTTCCTGCTTTGCCTCTTTGCAGACATGTTCACAGCTTAGTACAGCAGTCTTGCCCTAAGCCTGTTTCACAGCTGTGTCACAAGCTGACATTATGTCTAATTCTGTAATTCAGGCATTTAAGAGGGAGTTGACTGTTGAATCATTGCACGAGCACTGGATTTCTAAAAATTATATTGCATAAGTGGGTAGAGCCCCATTTCATGGTCTGACCTATTCTACAGCATTGTTTTCTGGGCTGGGCCTTGTTTTTGTAGGACAAATGCCATTCTCTAAGTAACTGTGAAGGAGGAGCGGTGGTTTACCCAACTTGGTAGTTTAGCTTGGTCACTAAAGAGGTTGTGAAGATTTTAAAAATATCGCACTCTTACTGACCACTTTTGGCCTATTTAACATTATTATATAGAGAGAAGTGTCATGATTAGCTTACTTACATCTGTGCATCTAGTCAGTTTCACCTCCCCCCCCCCTTCTCTAATTCTTGTGGGTTCTTCACACAGGAAAAAAGGGGGCCAGAAAAACGCACTGAAAAAGGAAGTGTAACAGAGCTGCAGTTTGAGGGGTACTTGCTTCTTAAACTGACCTTATTTCATGGTATCCTGTAAAGTAAAGGTTTAATCCCTGCTCCTGCCATGGCAAACCACAAAGCATATTTACAAAGTAAGGTTAAACTTAAGTTCAAGGAAAGAGAAAACTCTTAAGAGATTTTTTTTTTGCTTATTTCAGTAAGAGAGCATATTGTAAAGATTATTTAAAAGATCTCTTTAGTGAAATATGCATTCATGACGTATCCAACAGATTCTAGCTACACCTATCAGAGCTTTGATTTTCCAGACAAGTCCAGGTTCTACAGTTACTGTGCTAGCATGGGCTTCATGTCAAGTGAGATTCCCAGGGAACTAGCACACATGTCACTTATGTATCTACTTTCAGGATTGGGACAGGAGATCACATAACAAAAGCAACAGACTTTGTGCCATTGTGAGGAGGATTTGATAGCCTGCCCCAGAGGCTGGACTAAAGTTGAGTGAAAAACGTATTTTCCTTCTGGCTCAGAAAAAGTGACAGGAGGCCCTACTGCCCTCTTCATTTCCACCATCTGTGCCTTTGTGCACGTGTCCCAGGCTTTCCAGCTAGCAGCATTCTTGCTCATTCTGTTACTTTCCAGGCTGAGGCTTGTCCTTGAAACTCCAGCCTTTTTTGTATTTTCAGAATAGTGGCTTTCATGCCCTACCTATATCAATGTTTGTACTTTAAGTTGTAAGGTCACATGACACTGCCACAGCCAACAACAAAACTCCAGCAGTAACATCTGCCTGTCGTGCATTACAGTTGAAAGTGTTCTTTGTTTTAAGGATCTGTTTTAATTGCTTTATTCTAACATAAAACTTGGCACTGTAGTTCCAACAAGGATTTGACATTTTACGGTGTATAAATATGCACATGGGTGCATGTACATGCATGCCCCTATAATTGCGTCTCATATTTTCTAAAGCTTGTTCACCACAAACAGGACACTTCCTAAATTTGGAATAAAATCTAACGAGTCTAAACAAAAGGTATTTCCTGTATCAACTCTGTCCTCCTCCTCCTCACCCCCAAGGCCTGGGTGCTCTTTTAGGCAAGGACCTGGGAAGCAAGGTACATAAATAGGGTTCCTTCCTTCAG